TTTTAAGCCGTAAGTTTCCTACATCAAACCTTTAGATCCGCTGCGCATAGGTTTATGTTTGAATGTTTGTCCGTGATTTGTGCATATCGAGATCCTCATAGGTCCCAACACAGTGCACCCTATTTGGCGCACCCCGGCAGCACCAAGATGTACCACGACCTAAAAGGGTCATTTTGGTGGAGGGACATGAAGGGAGATGTAGCTGAGTTTATGAAGAAGTGCTTGGTTTGCCAGCAGGTCAAAGCCGAGCACAAGTTCCCACAAGGTTTATTGCAGCCTTTAGAGATCCCACTGTGGAAGTGGGAAGAGGTTACCATGGATTTCGTTACGGGACTACCCAAATCGAGGGAGCATCATGATGCGGTTTGGGTAGTTGTGGACCGACTGACGAAGTCAACTCATTTCTTGCCTGTGAGGATGAACATGTCCATGGAGCAGCCCGCGAGTATCTATATCTGCGGGATTGTGCGACTTCACGGAGTCGCCAAGGTCATAGTGTCAGATCAAGATCCCCGTTTTACCGAACACTTCTGGGAGAGCCTCAGCGAGGCCATGGGGACAAAGTTGAGGTTCAGTACCGCTTTTCACCCGCAGATCGATGTCCAGTCGGAGCGGACCATCCAGACCCTCGAGGACATGATTCGAGCATGTGTTTTGGATCGCGGTAGTTCATGGGAGGAGTTGTTGCCACTGATTGAGTTCGCGTACAACAACAGCTATCAAGCGTCGATCAAGACGGCACTGTACGAGGCTTTGTACGGTCGCAAGTGCCGATCACCCCTTTATTGGGATGAGGTCGGCGAACGACAGGTTCTCGGTCCGAAGCTGATCGAGGACACGGTGGAGAAGGTCGCCTTGATCCGAGAGAGGATGAAGGTGGCACATGAGCGGCAGAAGTATCACACTAACTTGCGGCGAGACCTCCAGTTTGAGGTAGGACAGAAGGCGTTTCTGAAGATCAAGCCTCTGAGAGGCATGGTTCGCGTCGGGAAGAGGGGAAGCTGCAGTCCCGTTTCTTAGGCCCATTCGAGATCCTCGAGCGAGTAGGCGAGGTAGCATACCGGTTGGCGTTACCACCCGAGCTTTCGGGTGTACACAACGTCTTCCACGTTTCGATGCTGAAGGATTACGTGCATGACCCAGCGCACGTGTTGAGTTATAGTGAGCTTGACGTCGGGCATGACCTGACGTATGAGGTACAGTCGATGGCTATTCTGGACCGAAAGGTTCAGCGACTGAGGAGCAGAGATGTAGCTCTCGTTCGAGTCCAGTGGACTCACCACGGCGAGGTCGAGGCCACTTGGGAGCGAGAGGAGGAGATTCGAGCTCGCTATCCAGATTTCCAGTTCTGATTAGTACTATGTATTTTCGATTCCTAGATTATAGTCGAGTCGAACTTATGTTTAGTTTTGGAATTACCGAGGACGGAAATATTTTAAGGAGGATAGATTGTAACGCCCAGATTTTTATTTACTATTTATGGAGCTCGACTATATTTCCATAAATATTAAGTTTCTAAATTTGATGCATTATTTATATTTATTTGCATTAAATTAAATAATTAGTATTAAAGTCTAAGCCATGAATAATTCATTCATTCGACTTTAAGTATTAAAGTCAGAATTTTATCTAAGCGAACTAAAGCCGGATAATTTGATTATTCGAGCCCAATTAATTTTGAGAATCCAGTAATTTTAGCCGACCCATTTTTAATTCGAATAGTCGAATTAATTTCCGGGCCCAATATTTAATTTCGGCCCAAGTCGAAATTATCACTACGAGCCGTCATATTTTTAATTAACCGACCAATTATATTCCTAAGTCTAGTCTAGTAATTATTCGGCCCAAGTCGAATTTAACTATCGAGCCCAATTCGAGTAACATTTCCAGCCCAACTCTTAAGCCCGATTCTTGGCCCAATAAAAATAAAAACCCTAAGCTCTCATCTCTTCTATAAATAGGTTGTCTCCTAAACACCCAACACAAAAACCTAGCCTCCCTACACTTACTATTCATCATAATCTTTCTTTCAAATTCAAGATCCAAACAATTCATCTTCATTTTTCAAGATCTAAGCTTAAACACCAAAGAAAAAGAAGCTATCATCCACCTTTATCCATGGCTTGAGCATATTCCGGCGAACACATCCATTTTCCGGCCAAGGCATGCCGGCAGCCCTCAGCCCGT